GGAAGGAAGGAGAAATTTCGGGGGGAGACATGCTAATTTCTAGCAAGATAGTGTCCCACGAATCGATCAATACTTCCTTATTAAAACTTTTTGCATGAAATTAGCATGTCTCCCCCCGAAATTTCTCCTTCCTTCCCTAGAATTAGCCATGAACCTCACCGTCCTCGCTCATAATTGTTTCTCAGCACCACTACAGGACAGCAAAGCCGGCGCCTCACCTCTCCTTCTCCGGTGCTCAGGCCCATGGCTTTGGATATGCTAGCCACCTCACTCCCCCTTCTGCGCCATCTCTCCCTCCCTTTCCAGCAACTACATTCTCACTCTGATGATCACCGAATGGCTCAAACTTGGGTAATTATACTAATACCATTATTATTTCATTTTCTTATTTATTTCAATGGCTATGGGAAGAGTGCGCTTTTGACAGTGAAGGTCTACACACTCTGAACTTCAGTATTCAAAGAATACATCAGTTGTAATATGGAGCGGATATATTTCGGGCAGAGTTTTGTTGCGGCACAGTTTATTTGATGCTATAGCAACACAAACGCTCGGCTAATTTGATGTGATTTCTTCTACAGGCTCGAAAGAAATATTCAGACTTAAAGGCACGGTTCACGATAATTTCTTGTTCCCGGCTCGCGCGGCCTTCCCGCCCTCGATCAATGTCACGTCAAACGAGTGTCGAAGCTATTCCTTCTAGGACCCACACACAATTAGCTGATAGCCGAGTGATGTGGCGATGTTTTTCTCCCATTCTTTTTTCCTCTGTTATTCTTTTCTCTTCTGCAACCCCTAATTCAATTTCCTTTCCCAAGAGTCTGAAAAAGGTGAGCTATTTTTGCTTGGACTAGGTTTTTTTGTTTACTTATGCTGCTCATAAGTGAATGAGTTTTTGTTTACCGTAGTCAGTTATTTGCATCAGGAGCCACACGTACGCAATGACGCACTGTGCGTAGCTCGTCCAAACGCCCCACTCTTCTTCATTCTTCTGGCCTCATTCTCGTCCAACCCCCTTTCTAACGATTTTTCGAAGCCTTTTTTCACTTCGGAAACACCGCTTCACGCAGTTCCTTCGTCTTCATCGCACTATTTTGCATCTTATTTTCCGCTTTTCGTCATACTCTGGATTACCCCTGGATTACTTTAATGGTTCAGAAGGCAGTTCACTGAAATCCTTCAACTGAGGAAGGTTTTATGCAGATGATTTGATGCGCCATATGAGCACAGCGCTGCCTGCTTAACTTCATCTTTGGCAGAATTCTTCCCCTAGCACAAGTTTAAGATATTTACCTGAGTGTAATCCAATTCTGAGATTCAGTTGTTCATTTGGAAGATAGGGAATGCGAAAGTCGACGAGGGCATGCATAAAGCCCAGAGACATACTGCAAATTTCCTTGATATGTTGATGGCCATTTCGACGTGGCAAACCGCTAACACACAGGTAAGCGTCTCCGATCGTTTCAACCTTAAGCACACGTTTTTTTATCGACATTGGAATCAATCTAGGTAAGTAGAGAGTAAGTTTTGTTTTTGTTTACATCTTTTTAACTAGATTAATTTCAACAGAGTAATATGAAAAATATAAGAGTGAAGTCAAACTCTCTGCTTGGCGCGGCTACTAAATTTACTAAATTTACCATTACTTGAGATGAATTCGAACCAGAATTCTTAATTTTTTAACAATTTGTGAGTAATCATACGAAGGAATAAGGTTTTTGTACTGTGCGAGCTTTCTCAGAGAATAAAGAATCGGTCTTCGTTGGAGTTAACTGAACCCAATGACTTTGCTGAAATGAAACAGCGCTAGCACGGACGACAAGTTTTTTGCAACTTCGATGGAGTTATTTTTTAACACACAGTTCCAAAACCCTAAACAATTGAGCTGAGAGGTTCAAGCTGAAAATTTTCAAATAAATATGGAAATAAAAAATAATAAAAATATGGGAAAAAAGATATGGACTGGATTTCAGAGCGTAAAAGAACCCCGAAGGACGCTCACCCTCACTTCATCATCAACTGTGGAGTTTCATAAAGGAACAAAGTCAAGAAGAGCTTCATTACAGTTTCGAACTTGAAATTATTAATGTATCAGTATGAAGTACTTGTTTTTCAGGAGCAGCATGCTTTTTTGCTGTTTGTTTGTGTTTTGATGAATATCGGCCCTCCAATTGATTCTTCCCAAAGCCAAGTTACGGCAGACTTAGTGGAACTATGAATACGGAATCATGCCTGTGTAATCAAGGCTTGCAATTCTGGCCAGTCTAATGCCCCCTACTTCTTTTTCTTTATTATCACATGCAATTTCAACTGGACGATACGTAACCCTTTAATCACAATCACAGCAACGTTTTTTTTTGCTGTTTTTGGAGGCCTTAGGCATAGACAGAAGGATAGAATTTACATGAATTATGGGAACTTTCAACAACTGACGATAGACGTTCAGAAGCAGAAGGGTGTGAGGGAGGGGAGGTCGACGAGGAAAGGGAGGAAGTGGGCAGGTAGTGGTATAGATAGAAATCAGAAACAAATGTCAGTGTGTAGTGTGTATCGGATTCTCAATTACTCAGTCCCTGCTGCCAAAGCCAGAATATCAGTATACAACATGAACTCTTAGAGTGAGTGGCACAGTTTAAATATTCGTTTTTCTGAAAAGCTCGTTCAAAAATGCTTTCTTTAAGAGGTTCAATTACCAGAATCTGCATTGCCTCCACTTACCTTGTAAACGTCATGTGCGTCTATAATACTGTCGAAAGTCATATAAAGACTGTTAAGAAGGCTAACAACCTGAATTGAGGAAAACTTTACTCAGTGATTCACTGGTAAAGAGAAGTCTTCGAAGAATACCTGCAAAGGAGAACCTCTAGCGGCTATAGTTGTAAAGGAAACGACATCAGAGAAGAAGACGGTGACGCTTTCAAACGATTCTGGTTCAACAGACTGACCTAGTTTCAATTTCTCGGCTACTTGTCTGAAATCGTTTTATTTTATTTGAACAGTATTCGTACAGATTAACATAATAGTTCTTGAACTCGGATCGGATCGAAAGTGATCCAATCAGATAGAAAGGCTGAAGTGCTCAGAATCGGTTACTGTTCGAGGGTTTTTATTCCAGCTGACGTACTCGTTTGCTAAAGAGTGTTAGACCAAAGTCGAGTAGTAGATTAATCGTAAAAATAACGTCATTATGCTCTTTCTCCTGGATGCAAGTGGGTCATGGAAACGGCTTTGAATACCATCCGCAGGAAGATCTCGAGACTATCAACTGAGTAGCAGTGTCAAGCCATTGGGGCTAGGACACAGAAACGCAATTTTTTTGTGATCTCACCGCTTCGTGAGGGAGTTCATGTGGTAAACTTATCTTGGAAACAGTAACAGACTCGTTACCGATCCCCGAGGGATGGAAGGTATGGTTGGTTTAGGTCGGTCAGAAATCCAAATCGTGACCGTGCGTGTGTGGTAGTGCGCCACTTGCCACTGCACTAACTCCTCCCCTTCTTAAGCTGAGAGTCGAAAAAACCCTCAAATTGTGATATCTAAGGTCGTGTTCAGACTAACAAACGGAGTAGCGTAACACTGCCTTTTGTTTGCAAGGATATTCTATTAAAAATTATTACATAATTATACATTATCAATATTATAATATATATAATTACATCATATTGTATTCTTATATTAATATTAATAGTATAATATGATATTATAATGACAGGATGGGCCACAATTATGAATACAGGGCGCGCAGACGCTATTACCTACTTTTTCTGAGTTTGTAACGCTTCATTCCGTTTCTTGCGTTTCACAAGGTAGATGACCTTATTTCCTTGCTAGTGATACTAAACTTTTGGCTATTTCAAAAATAATGGGAGCGTCACTACCTCGTGAATCATTCACCTCTTTACGAGTACTTTTGGCGCGGGACATCTCCAGACGACGTCCGGTATACTTAAAAGCATGTGGTATACTTAACCATAAGACACTCTCAAGAGTTGAAACAACTGCAGATCGGAGAGATGGACCTAAGAGAACTGCAGTTACATTTAGGGGGAGTGATAAGAAAGGAGGGCGAAGGTCTGCGTAGCAGTGAAGTATACTCTGCGCACGACATAGCCAAAGCAATGAATATCTCAAATAATTTTCTCTGCAGTATCGTGAAACATCGTTTGCACGACAAGACCTTTATACGATCAGAAAGTGATTTCCCGAGTGAGCAAACTGACGAGTAGAGAAAGTTTGGCTCACGACAGCTGCTAGGCCGTTCTCGGAGAAATCGCCATGGGGTGTTCCTGTTCACCGTGAAAAGATATTTTGATTTGATTTGATTTATTACACGAAGACATTCGTGTAAAACCATAGCAATAAAACATGAACCAGAGCACAAAACAACTAAGGCTA